TTTTATAGTAATAAATTTATCAATTATGTTTTGACCAAATCACCGAATTTGTTATACTTAAACTTTACTTACTTACGCCTGTTACCCCTAATGGAGGATAGGCCGCAGACCAGCATTCTCCAACCCACTCTGTCCTGGGCCTTCTTTTCTAGTTCCATCCAATTCCTGTTCATTTTTTTCATGTCTATCTCCATTTCCCGGCGTAATATGTTCTTTGGTCTTCCTCTTTTTCTTTGGCCTTGAGGATTCCATGTGAGGGCTTGTCTTGTGACGCAGTTGGGTGCTTTCCTCAACGTGTGCCCTATCCACTTCCAGCGCTTCTTCCTGATTTCTTCCTCCGCTGGGATCTGGTTTGTTCTCTCCCACAGTACGTTGTTGCTAATAGTGTCTGGCCAACGGATCCGAAGTATTTTGCGTAGACAACTGGTAATAAACACCTGTATCTTCTGGATGATAGCTTTCGTAGTTCCCCAGGTTTCTGCTCCATACAGAAGAATTGTCTTGACATTTGTATTGAAAATTCCGACCTTAGTGTTGGTTGACAATTGTTTTAGGTTTGAGATGTTCTTCAGTTGTAAATACGCTGCTCTTGCTTTGCCTATCCGCGCCTTCACATCTGCATCAGATCCACCATGTTCATCAATGATGCTGCCCAAATATGTAAAGGTTTTTACATCTTCCAAATCTTCTCCGTCAATTGTGACTGGATTTGTGCATGCTGTGTTGTATCGGAGAACCTTGCATTTCCTTTTGTGTATATTGTGACCTACTGCTGCTGAGGCTGCTGCTACACTGGTCGTCCTCTCCTGCATTTGTTTTTGAGTTTGGGATAGAAAGGCCAGATCATCTGCGAAGTCTAGATCGTCCAACTCCGCCTGGAGTCCCTCTGGGGGCTACTGCTGGTCCCAAGCCCAAATAAAGAAGGAGGGTTGAGCATGGGGTTAGCAACCCCATCCCGTAGAAAACTAACTCGCCAAAAAACGCTAACCAGAAAAAAAATTATTTGAATTTCTTATATTCCTAGTTTAATTTATTGGTTTATTATTAAAATATAATTGTATATGACTATTATTTGATTAAAAAAATTAATAAATTACTTTTCTTCGTTTCACTTAATTCAAGAAACAACATTCATTTTGCTAGCCGGTCTCGTTTTGGATTTACTTACCGTAAGAGAAAAATCAAAAAATGGTATGATAGTTATTTGCACAAGTTAAGAACATAAATCAAGTGTGTAATCACTAAGTGATAATATATGTAGATTTGTTGAATTAATAATTTTTGCAATGTTTAAGAACTCTTATCTTATAAAAACTCTTCAAATATATGGAAACTATTTGAAGAGCTTACAGTAAGAAAGGAAATAGTGATAATGCTCAGCTGAATGTTTGTAACTTGAAATAACACTTTTTACGTTGATGATCTAATTTCATGTTTCCGAGTTCTTTAGGTTTGAGGAAAAGCTGTGTCTCAGGTTTTACTGAAACTGATGCGTTAAAATGTCTCAATTGACTTAACCGTTTACAATGTTTAGGATCTGACGTCATGCCAAACCTTCTTTTTAAGAAATGTGCATCTTTCATTTAAGAGCGTTCTTAACGAATCGTTTTCAACTAATTTTACAAAGAAAATATGGAGAACAATATGGATTATATGCTTGTCAAAGACATATCCAGTGATAAGAATGTAACGTTTTGATCCATTACAATAAATCCGCTTTTTCTCGAAACGACGAAGAAATTCCCACTACTCCCACTTCAGACCGAGGTAAAAGAAATTGTTGATTCATTTCAGTTTCCTTGCGAATGGCGAAACAGTACTTTGAATGGACGACTGTCGATGAGTGCTAGTTTGACTGATCGCAAGGTTTCATAGTGGAATGGTTGATTATCGTCGCTCTTTGACTGACGTTAATTGGTTTGCATCTCGCAGATAGAAACTTTGGTCCCATTTTGTTAAAAATATTTTTGCTGATTCTTAGGTAAATAAAATAGTATTTATTAACCATTTTTACCGTATAGTACTTTATTTTGTACAACAGAAGCTATTAACTCTGTTGTAGGTGAACTGAATTGTTGAAGCGTCATAAATTCTCTGCCGTATACTTATCTCCTTGACCTTCATTATTATGTAAGTTGGTTGGTGTTGATACCAATAAAGGGATGACCGATTGGCTGTGTTTTCAATTCTTTGGAAGAGAATATTTTACCATACTCAAAAGAAGGTATTCGACTTATTTATTAACTTATGCTGCTGTACCACAAGTAGGTGTTCTTTTGTCTTTCCTTTCTTCCTAATCTACTATCGTCTTTAAAAAAATTTTCAAATATTCAGATGATCTCACTGTATGTACATCACTTTCATTTTCCTCATACTCCCTTGAAATAAATGAGTACTTAACACCCAATGAACAATGGTCAACTTTTAACGGCCTTACATTTGGAATTTTGTAAACAAATGACAACAGATTTTTGTCGGATACAAACTATCCATTTCATTTAGATCTTTCCCATCACATATTGTCCTGTAGAACTAGAAGCAGTCACACTAGAAACCATATATGTAATCCTAGCTATAAATCCCATGTAACATTGTATCTTACACATTTGCTATACGATGAATATGTTGTAAGAGCTGATCAAACCGTAAACTTATACTCTTGAATCTGCTTCCAATTCAATATTGTGTAGATTTTCATCTTCTCACAAATATTTTATATTATTTTAGACAATTTTATTTACCTATTTCACGTATACATGATGCATATTTACTTTTTGCAATTCATAAGAAGAATAAAAGAAACTTGTTGAAATATCGCAATCTGAGAATTTCATACTGTATTTAACAATAGAACATTAAATAAAGCCATTATTATTAGTATTATTATTTATTCACAAAATAAGCTTCAAATCTCTCACGATCAGTATCTTTTGATTTCCAATAATTCTTCGATTGATATCAGTTTTAAATGAAAGCTATTTTTATAAATCTAGCATTTACAGAGGACTATTGCTACTAAATTTTTAAAGAACTGATGATATTAAGCAAACGGATACCACTGATGTTACATTCGATTTTTGGTGGTAATTTACGACAATTATAAATATAATTCAAAATGATTACTTGAAAAATACCATGTTTGTCAAATGTTAAAAGTTAACCGTATGTATCATAATAACCTAACAATTTGCAATACAAATAATCCAGAATTGAATATGACGTTACGTTTCACATCGGTAGAAATGATTCTTACCATTAAGAAAGATGAAGGATAAAATTTACTGAATAAGACAACATAAAACGTCCACTCATATTGACAGTTATGTTTAAATCGGAATACATCGATGGAGTTATTATGTAATGGAGGGACTATAACGTAATCTTAACTACCAGTCGCTTAGTTATATACAACAAAAGACCTGGCACTGATTCAAGTCGTCACATTGTAATAACACGATAAGATTATATTATCAGGACAAATCCCAGAACAGTAGAATTAGTGATAGGATCAGTAGAGGTTAAATATCCCACTAACAACCATTCACGCCTTTGAATTATAAAATATTTTTCTGATTTTAGTATACTACCAACACGCAATACTAAATCTAACTAAGTCTGTATACCTGCAACAAGTAATTGTTTTGAGAAATTGAATAATAGTAAACGATAATGAAATTTCTTAAATGAGAAGAATATATCACACTTTTTACCAGTAAACAATAAATTTACTAATTTCTTATCGATTAAAGATTACATTATAAAGTCTCATCACAATTTGTACTTCTTAAGTACGGTCAGGTTGTCATTACATAAATGAAAACGTGGAGCTGAATTGTATACATTGGCATTAAGCTAAATGAAAGGAATATTGTTGCGAATATACAAATAAACAGACACAAACAAACAAATAGTGAGTGAATGAGTGGAAGAATTGAGTTTTTAGGCTGTGTGTGGCATGTCTAGGATTAAGCTTTTATTGGCCTTGATACATCATGATATCAGTGTATAAACAATTGTCGGTGTCCTATTTCTAGTTTATTCGTCCACATTTCATTGTAAGTTCAGTGAGAGAGATAGATAGAAAATATTTTAATAGGACACGCTTTTAGATTGCCTCAATTTCTAGACAGCCAATTGAAAAAACCTCGTGTGCACAGGTTGTATTCTTCTCTTCTCTGATTGGCCATCAGACTAATGGTAGACAAACGCAGGATTTATTATTGATAACCTATTGCTACCGGAACTAATCGCCTACGTAAAGATAACATGTTAGTATCCCTATTCTGATTTGTCAGCTTTGTCTGCGTGCATCATCTGGCGAACACTACTGATATCATAACTACTATCATTATCATTACTTTTTATGTTCATATTAGTGTTGTAAGCAAATACCTAAAACAACTATCTAGTTCACCCCACTTCCACATTTATTTATGAAATCATTTTTATAATAAACACTGAGACATCATAAAAACTATTTTATTTTTAAAAATACTATGTGTTAGTAGCTATTTACTAGTTCTACTACTCTTAATTCCATAACTACAACAAATATTGACAAACTATTGAAACTCTGCACATCTTGTATGGAATAAGCTTGATTAAAAAACAATTATTTAATTATTATTATTATTGTCGTTTTCGTTCTACATGTCTGATAATTATTAGTAATTTATTCACTGTGCATAATTTAAATTGTAACAAGTGTATTTCGAATGTCATCACATCATTTTATGAAACTGACAAACATTCATTTCAATACAACAATTATTATTGCTACTATTACGGCTGCTATTAATATCACTCTTTTTATTTGTTCAATCCATATTTAACACTAACAGAAGCATTTCAGTGTCCAATGTATCAAACAGTATGATTGTATTCGAAACTCCGATGATGATATTCAACACAGACCAAATGTTTTAACGTATTTAAGCTTCTGTTAAGTTACAATTTTTTTTTCTTGTACCAATTTTTAATACTGAAAGCAGAATTTAAAAATTAAAATCTTTAAAAAAAATCGATAAATTGAAACTAAACTCATGATGGATGTAAGTGGTACTGATCCACGAACAAGAACTGGATTATTTTTATGGCCATGGGCAAGTTATCCTGCTGTTGCAGCAAATGCTGCTGTCGGTGCACATGCACAACCAATTATGATGGGTGCAAATGCTGGAGCAATGAATGCTATGCCTGGTTCTAATATGTTGAATGTATCATATACAGGTTCTGGATCTGCTACTATACCTGGAATGATTGAAGATCCATTTGAAAGTTTTTGTCAACGATTCTCTTATACTGGTGCACATGCAGCGCATATGTCACATATACTTCCACATCAACATGTTGGATTAAGTGAAACACGTCATTTATCACAAGATCATGAAACAAGTGATAATAATGATGGTAATCGTCATCCAAATCATTCACCATCTATAAACCATACACGTGCACATGTTACTTCACATCGTCTGCTTTCTGTTCAACCTCGTGGTAATATTAATCATTTACATCAAGACACTAACAGCACAAATGGATTAAATGACCAATTAAACGATCCCAGTAATAATACTAATAGTAATCCAACAGCCGGTTCGAACAGTCATGCTGCAGCGATCGCTGCTTTTGCATCGGCTGCAGCTAATTCTGCTATAATGGGCGCAAATGATCCAACTTTAGGGAATTCTAATGGTTTATCTTTATCACATGGTATACAAGTACCGCGTCATGTACAGTCTAGTTTACGAAATTCCAATACAAATGAAATGGTTTTGGATAACTTATGCAATGGTTTTGCAAAACCTAGTCATTTTTCAACTCAATTACAATCAAGTGTAACAAATGCTTTAAATAGGCAGCAATCAGCGATCACCTCGGTGAATTGTAATAAATTACAAACGGATACAATAACTCCGTATAATTTACACTGTCACCATTTGAAAAATTTAGGTAATCCAGCAGCTGTTGCTCTAGCCGCTGCCGCTGTAGTTGGTGGAAGTGGTGGTGGTGGCGGTGGTGTTGTCGGCGGCTGTGTTGGTACAATTGATCATTCACAATTTCAAACAACATTGAACAACGAAATTCGCGATAATTCAACACCTACAAGTAATAAGCATTTGGATGAACAAAGTTCAACTAGTAATAGTAATAATAATAATAGTAGTAATAACACAAGAAGGTCGAATTCAAACAATGATAGTTATTCAATTTCTCATGGACAACAACAATTTATGTTTTCACCAAAAAGTCCTCTTTCTGATTCATTGGAAAATCCAAATAAAAGTGAATCAAATACAGGTATTGATCATACAACACATAAATCAACTCGTGGTAATACAAATTTATTGAATAAAAACAATAGTCGATTATTGTCTGGACCACAACAAGATCGGATTAATAATTTGATTTTTAGAAATTCTACTTTAAGAGCTACAGAATGTTCACCGGAATCCACAAATACGATAGCACCAGATCGACATTCATCAGATATGGTCATGGATGATGTATTAACAAGTCAAAGAGAAGATAATAATACAACTAACAATAATGTTACAAGTAGTAATAACAACAGTAATAATGGTAATGTACGAGTAGAATCAAGATTTCTCGGGATAAATCAAGAGGAAAATCTATCAATTAATGGTATATGTAATGGTGAAGGTTCTTTATCATCCATACTGTCTGTTCCAAATGGTCATACTCCATATCATCCTCCAGCTAAAGGTTACAAATGTAAAATTTGTCAACATGTAAGTTTTTTACTAAATGTTTTCCCAAAATTAGGCTGCAATCATGTAGATGATTAGTTTGATTCGTATCAAAGTTTGAAAATGTCTTCAGTTATAATAAAATTGAAGAAATACGTGTTTTTTTAAACCTTGGAGCTCTTTTTGAGTTCACTCTAGTTGATAATATTAACATGAGTCATTTACTTACACCATACTATTTTTGTCAATAAGTATTCATTATCTGTTGGGAATTGTTTATGCATTAGAACTTATGTCTTAATTGATTTTCTAATCAAATAACTCTAACAAGTGAATACATAATATGATGCCAAAAATGTACTGTGAATGGATCTTATTTGCTTTGACTAAATTTTTTTCACCAGTAAACTGATATCCGTTGAGGAGAGTTATTGAAAACTAGCGAGTGAATGCTTACAATTATGTTGTCTTATATCAAAATGAAACAGCTATCCAATTCATTCGAGTCATAGCTATCATGGAATAAGATGGATCTTCACGAGATCAACTTATCCAAAGTAAATTTAATACAATTATTGTTAACTCACATCCCATTTTCTAGGAAATTTGATCCTCATATAAATGTCTTAATATTCAAGTGAGCATAATGATGGTATGTTTATGCTCAAATGTTTAGTCATTATTGATATGCGTGACTTTTTACATATCTATATAGATAAAATTAGACGTCCGAGAAAAAAGACATTTGGTGTCCAAAATCTAGGTGAATTTCAATAATGTCAATGTTTAGCTGTTTAGATTAAATTTATCAAATCAGTGTAATGAATTAACCTAAATTATTTGATCGGATCTATGTTACGTTGTTTATGTCAATAAATCATTTGTAATTTGTTCCTATTAATAAAAAGTATTTGGTGAATTTGATTGATACATACTATCTTGAATTGAATGGCGTATTCACGTATATATACTGGTCATGCTTATTAACAAACACTTATAATTTGAGTGAAAAATTGAAAGACATTGTACAAAATCATTGATTTATGAATTTTGTAACTACGATATATACTCAACTGATCATGAAGAAAATTTAGAAGACTTTTTTGATCCTTCAATTAGCAATGAGTTTTGGTCATTGATTTGTACATTCTAATTCGAATGATACGTTTATATGTTGTGATGACTAATTCATTGAGCTAAATAATTTTTTCTAAACTTGAGTGTAATCTTGATGGAAAGAATAATGTTTGATAAAGATCTGATTGAATGGTTTTGCAATGATATCGGATGTTTATCAGTTGATTTCTACCTCGTCCTTTTCGTTTGATTGAGGATAAACTGCCATGAACACACTCATTACAACTCGTAATTTGTAGATTCGAAATGTAACCCATTAAATACAGTTTAGAAATTTGACTAGTATCGATTAACTGGGTTTTTATAGCATTCTATTATGGGTGACCGTCTAGTTACTGTGGTGAATTATTTTGTATATCCCTGAAAAAAATACTATCGAATTTGGTATTCAATTGATAATCTAGAGTTTACCGAAAGAGATCGATGGGAACCGAGTAAAACTGAGTAAATACTTGTTTGATTACTTCCAAACCATTCAGGGGACTTCATTTTTGATCAATATAACGGTAATTTTCTTCCTACTTTTCAGTTTGTGATATATATTTTATACACCTAACTTTCAATATTATTGCTGAGTCCCAGTGAATAACAACAGAATATTAGTAAGAACAGTTCTTAAGTCAAATAGACTACAAGTCTATTAAGCATTTGTTGATTCTAAATATAGTAATAAACGTAATTATTCAATCAGCATATTTATGATGTTGTTTATCATAAGTTTCATAACAGCTGTATTTTTCTACATCACTAGTCATTGAACACATAATCTACAATGTATTCTACTTTATATCTTTCCTTTGTTCACTTTAAGTATTGTTAGTTAAGCATATTGTATATTCGTGTGTATTTATGCATGGTTGTTTATGCGTACACATACTCTCTCTTCAAATTCAAATAGCAGGTATTAAAATGACATTGAGACTGTGAATACAAAAATGTTGATTTTGTAATATCGAATAGAAAACTTCATTGTTAGTTTATTATTTTTAAAAAGTATATACAATCGAATCGACTGTGTTATACATACCCAATCAAGATTTACTCATAAAAAATATTGACGACACCATTATCTACCACATATAGTCAATTATGAAGGTTTGTGATAGATAACTTTATTATTTTGTAATCATATCAGAAATTAAATTCATTTGGTAGTGCTTGTTTGAATCTTCCCATTGATGTTTAGGACTGTAATTGACTAGTCTCTTATCGGCATATGCACATTCTGTGCGGATTGCCTCGAAATTACCTCAAGGCACAAACAATATTAGCAAAGACGGATGGTGGCTAACAATGGAATCCATGAGGTGCGTTTCATCTTATTTAGGACTCGTCAGATGTATGTACCCACATCTCAGAGTTGATGTTCACTCCGGGACTCGGACCCTATATATATATATAATATTCAGTTTTGTATAGAAAAAGGAAAGTATTGGTATTTAATACAATCAACTATAGTATATAGTATCTCTAAATGTTTACTTCTCTTGTTCTAGAGAGAAAATAATGCTTTTTAATACAGAGAGCACAAAACCATGTAAGGCCTTAAAGTCAGTAGGAATTCATTTGGTTTTTTTTTTACTGTTATCAACATATCCTTAGAACATAACGTACATGTTACATGATCGCCACCAGCATCACCATCATTGTAGTGATCTCATAGAATTTGATTGGTCAACATCAACTCGATTTATACATTAGAAAACTAATTACTGTAAAATAATAACCAATAGACATTTTGAAGGTAAATTTTTCACTACATTGATTTACTACAAAATTATATGTGTTCATCTACATCAATCTGATAGGTCTTGATGATTTTTTATTCAGAAAAAATTTATTATACAGAAAAAATATTTGAGTAAACTTCTAGAGACAAATTTATATGGATGATCATCATTTGTCCAGAAGATTTCAATCACAGTGTGTAAGTAGTAAAATCATGTATATATTTTTTGGTATTAATCAGACATGTTTCTTTTGTTTGAGTTTTTTTCCCCAGCTGTTTTCTTCTACTTTTCACCCATACTTTTACACTGATAAGTTAGTTTTGTAGTTAAATCAGAAGTAAATTTTAGTCAAGTTGAGTATTCATTCCTTATCTTACTATTAATAGACAGTCCAAGTTTCAACGGTCAGTAATATCATGTACTTGCCTGATGTTTCTTTCTGTATCCATCTTTATGATTCTATCATAGATACATATGTCAAATTTCACATTTAACAAGGTGATAAACTGCATGTTTGGTTTATTTGATTTTTGTATACTGGCTGAACTACAATTGTGTCTTAAACTAGTTCAAACGTGCCTAAATTTAAGATTAGTGTTGAATTACATGTGTGAAGTGTAGAGTAAAATTTTCAGAGCGTGTTAAATTATATGTTTGTATATATATATATATATATATATATATATATATATATGAATAATGACGTAAGTAAAGTGTCTGAATTTACGATACTTATATATATATATATATATATATATATATTTAAATTGTTAATAACATTGTGTTAAACGAAATTATTTCAGGATCAAAGTACCTTTTCCTGTCTATCTGTGTATATCCGTAGCCTTTATTCTTTGTTATAATTATACCTTGTAAAATAAATAAACTTTATATTCACATAATATCTTATTATTCGAAATCTATATTCTGTCACACAGATAAATTTGGCTCTATATATATACATATATATTGCATATAGATTTAATTGATAGCAACTAATTGTTATCTATAGCGCCTTTATGTTTGTTTAAAATTTATACATTGAATACATTCTATTGTTAATGATTATATTCTCCCTGAGACTCTAGTCTAGCATTGATCAATTCAAATATCCACATTATTATTGATCATACTATCAATTTTTCAGAAGTAACTACTTGTTCTGTTAGCAAAAGATAATATTTCTTTTTGTAATACTTCAAGATTCTCTTTTTTGTTTCTCTATAGTTTGAACTATATTGATCACTTTCTATTGGTATAAACTGATAATGTTTTCAATAAATTCGTAATTTGGCATGTCAATTAAGAATTTCATGTTATAAAATCTTACTAAACACAATAAAAAATGTGTATTATAATACATTTTTCAATAAAATTATATATTACAATAAACTTGTAATGACAATTAATTAAACTTATTACAAATATTGTTCATGTTACTAAGATAAAAACCGATTGTATTAGTATGGATGTAACTAATGAAGTTACTCAGAATAGATTGTGAATATCATTCATAACTTTTTAGTATTGTTTGAGTAGTTTATAAGAAGTACCACCATAAAAAAAATGAAATTTAGTATAGAATGTTACTACGACCCAATTGTTTTTCTTTTAAAAAAAGTATTAGATACTTCGTTCATGTATAATTTTTTTGTCTGGAGAAAAAGAAACAAATAGATTTAGGAGCAAAATAGGTCAAAATCCTATTTTGTTTGTTACTCCTAGTTGGAATAGTTATCTGAATGAGAAATAATATTTACTGCATCAAGTTGCTACATTAATGAAGTTGCGACGAATTATTATTTTATAACAAAAACTTATGATACAGGTTAATATATTTAAGGATGGATTTTCCAAATTAATCTTATAGCTAATAAAGATAAAAGATTATGACGAGTGTAGAATCAAGTGAACCAGAATCAGGACATCTATACCACACAGAGAACATTTCGACTAACAGTCAAGTCACATTCGTGACCAATTAAAATTCTAAACATTTAAGTCAAATGAATTTCAATTCAGCGTAGATGAATGATATTAGGAAGCTATTGAGAAAATCTAGATGTTTTGAAATTTACCTAGTGTTTTACCCCGATAGTCGTAGATTTTCACTGTTGTTCCAGTCCAAAACGTAGGACTGAATAAATGGCATTCTGGTTATTTGATAATTATTAT